GACACAGTGCTTGACCCAGAGATGCTGGGCTTACAAGGGTGTTCTACTGGCATTTATGAGGTTTTCATGGTTTCAAGGGGCTTTTTGGGGGCATTGTGATGATGGTCTGAATAATCAGATGAGGGTTTCAGGGGGCTTTATACCAGAAGTATATAATGCTAACAAGGGAATACCGTTGCGAATTGTTCGAAACCTGGTCTGTGGACTACAAGATTTGCGCGATTGAAATAGATACCAGCGGGCCGAAGGCCAGCGCCCACGGCTCTAAACACACCTCCAAAGCAAGGTCAACTCGAGGGAGCAGGAGTTCACAAGAGCTTGGAGCATTAAAGTTTAGGGCTCAGTGTGCGGAGGTTTAGAGTTTGGGAGCTTAGGGTTGAGGGAGGTTTAGTGTTCGGAATTCAGGGTCTAGGTTTCAGAGATCAGGCTTCGGGTTTTCGGGTCAGTATATGCGGGGATTTGTGTACGACCTAGGCGTTGAGGGTGATGTGAACCGTTCCTTGAGGCCACATGACCCTTACAGGTAGGGACTTATATCCTTATGCTATGGATCCCTGTATGGTATATGAACCTTAAACCGTTTAAGGTGCTGTTCGTCCTTGAACCCTGCACCCAAAACCCTGCAAACCCTATACAACCCATGTAACCCTTATAGGGACCTTTCAAGAAATCCTACAAATAACCCTTTTCGGGCTCGTTGCGTCCTTAAGGTTAGGGGCGCCACTTGACCAGATCTTCCAGAACCCTTTCTAAGGAATCGACCTTAAATCATTTAGGGATCCTACTCTAAACCCTAAATCCTAAACCCTAAACCCTAATAAGATTTAAGGTGTGGTCCTTCATTGAATGTCTTGGGAAGATCATAAGAGCAAGGAAACCCAGAGATCCCTTCTCTGGTAGCTTCATCCAAGTTCCTAACAACCCTAAACCCTAAACCCTAAAGCTTAGCCCAGCAGAAAGAGCCTCCGGGAATTGGGAGGCCATAGGCCTGGGCCAGACGTCGGGGAGCGGAAATCTTAAGGGTGTTTTGGGTTTTTTGTGGTTTTTTGTGGTTGTAGAGGTGTATAAGGATTAGGGCTTTGGGGCTTTTAGGATTAGGCTTTTAATGATTGGAGGTTTAGGGTTGTTTTTGAGGTTTAGGGTTTAGCGTTAGGGGTTTTGGGTTTAGGATTAGGGATTTAAGATTTACGACTATAGAGGCTAGAGGTTTATACGGATGAGGGGTTTAGGGCCTTGGACTTAAGGAGAAGAGGTTTAAGGCTTGGAGCTTACGGTTTACATGGGGGTTAGGGCCCTAATTGGACCCTAAACCCTCAAGCCAAGGATAAGATGGAAGTTGTATGTTGAGCGAGTGCGTTACTTTAAGTAGCAACAAGCAACAAAACCACCAAAACCTGCTCCAAACCCGACTTAAAGCTCCGCACCCAAAACCCTACACAACTTCTATAACCCTAAACCCTCAGTGGGTTCAAGGTTGGCGGGCTGCGGCTTCAGGCTTTCGGAGTCGGGCTGCAGCAATGGGCTACGGTTTGAGGCCTAGGGCCCAGGGCTTAGGGTTTAGGGTGTAGGGTTTAGGGATTAGGGTTTAGGGTTTAGGGCTTAGGATTTAAGGCTTAGGGAGCTTGCAGAAAGACACAGTGGCATCCTGGAACGTCCATGTCCTCCCTGCTCTCCAGAATCAACAACATGCAGTGAGACCGCTCGCCGCCCTGTAGCTACTCTAAGTATGCTCGCGGTCATGAATGTAGCCTTCTTCTCTTCAATCACCCGTCACATCTGTACAATACCTCACGTCGCCCATGAAACCATTTAACTGAATCAGTCAACTCCTCCATTCAGCGAAGTGAATAATGGGGCTGCTTGTAGTATGGGAAGTACTCAAGGTTGTCTTTGCAATTACCCCCCTAAACAGCCTCTCTCCTGCCGCCAAACACCCTAAACACCCCAAACCCCATCATTTCCCTCAGTCCTCACAAACCCCTCGCTCTGTGGCTCTGCATGCACCTTCCTGACTTGCCCAAGACCCCGGCAGCCAAACCGCACAGGGTTTATCGCGTTGCTCGTCCTTGTCGCGATCTCCCACGAGCCTCGGGCAAGTCCAATATAGGGGCCTTAATCACCTAATCATTGGAAAAGGGTTTTGGCATTGGGGTAATGCATACTATAACTGTAAAAATGGGCCCCCAAAATTATATGGGTAATGATTCAAGCCCTTTGTTTTAGGCACAAAGGCCCCCTGCCCTGAGAAATCGCTTAGAGTAAGGGCCTTGCGCTTAGCTTCGGATTAAGGGTTGGGGCTTCTGTGTGAGGCTTGGGAACCTTGTTGTGCGAGGCTTCGACTTGTGCTCCATCTTCCCAGGCGTATACTAAAAGAGAACCGCTGCTCTATCTGGGGCTGGGTATAGGGTTCAGGCTTTTGGGGTTTGGGGTTAAGGGTTAAGGGGTTTAGGGGTTTAGGGGTTTAGGGGTTTAGGGTGCTCTATCTGGTGGCTACCATGGGAATCGAGTGGAATGGAGTCATTGAGACTCCTGGGATTGCTTTTGGGGTCGAGAGGCTTCTTCTCCAAGGCGAAGAGGGACAGGTTGCCGTCCGATTTGCGGAGGAGTGAGCCATCCTTCCGACCTCGATCATTCCACGAAGGGGCTGGGCTTCCAGAATCTGGGCTCTTGTTAAGGAAGTTAATTCAAGTTGTACCACAATAGGGATCCATAGGAAATGATATGGTTTCCTTACTATAGTCTTCTGAAGTTTCGGTGCTCAGGGCCCGTTTGGGCTTCTGATGGGAGCTTTCCTGCGCACTGCATTGCAAGGGTTGCCTCAGAATCCCAGAAGTACTTCACTGTCACAACACTACGCAACTCAACACTACGCGACTGGTAACTAAAGCTTCATGTGTGATCCATGGCTGGCTAAGGGAAGGCCAAAAGGGCCAAACATCCAGCTCTCACTGAGCAGAAACTTGTGGTATTGTGATATTCGAGGCAGGGTTTTTACGGCCGAGTGCGCGCACAATCTGAAGCGACCCTCTCCGTGCTTCACTGCAGTCAGGCGGCTGATAAAGTACCATGCGTAGGGCTTGCCCTGCGCAGGCACGCGTCCAGAGTTATGTGGAAATACCCCAGAGGGGAGTGCTCAGGATTTCCAGGGTTGGAGCTTCACAACTTACCTGAGCTCACAGACCGTGGCTTCACATTGCAACAACTCGAACCCAATATGTTGCCTGAGAATTCCAGAGAACAAGGATTTGGGGTTTAGGTTTTGGGTTCATCTGCACAGTCTGCACAGTGCAACTGGCAACGAGTAAACGAAGGTGGGGAGGGAGACGGACCCTTCAGGTTTGACCGTCTTCGGCCTCTTCTGTCCGGTTCTGACAACCTGACCTTCGCTGCTTTTAGGGTTCAGGGTCTATAGGATGCAGGGCAGAAAAACTAGGGTCAAGGCTTCAGGGTTCAGGGTTGCCTAAACCCAGGAATTCAAACCCATCCTACAACGAGCTCCCGATCCCACCCCACGTTCACTAAGGAGTGGAGCGGACTACCCTACGCTCAGGAACATAATAGTGATATAGGGGCCTGAATAGTTCGAGTGGCATTTCGGTGTATATGCTGCAATTACTATACACTAAAATCTTAAAAGTACGGTTGCTGATATAAATCCTGCACTACCCATAAGCAGGAATATACCATAATTCCCATAGCCTAGGGTCCTTAAGGTAGTGCAGGATTTACATCATCAACAGTAGTATTACCAATTCTTGACGGCCCCGACCTGCCTTCGCGATGACGACGGTGTCGGGGATGGAGAAGCCAAAGTTGTCGGCAAAGCCTCGAGACGCCCGTCTCCGGAACAGGCCGACTCTGTTGTATCCATGGCGGTTCAAAGGGGTTTTGGGGCTTGGGGTCGTCTGCTCTTGCTTGCGGGCTTGATCATGTTATGGATACCTGGAGGAGGGATGTAGGTCGTGTGAAAATCCTTCGGAACCATGCAGCCCCCTTTCCGAAACACCAAAACCTTGAAGACCCCTAGAAGAAGTAGTTATCAGCTATAGATGAAACTCCGAAAAACAAACTCCCTAAACCCTAAATCCTAAAGCCCTAAAGCCCTAAAGCCTAAACCCTAAAGCACGAGCAAAGGAGCTGCGGCTTTTGTTTCGCCGATGGCCCCAGCGCCAGAGCAGCTCGTAGAGCTCGACGATGCACCTTACTTGGAGGATCATGGGGCTTAGTAAGTAAGGTTATAACTACCTAAATTGGGGCCGTAATTACTTATAAAAGTATAGTTACCTTATTAATAACCCTAGTTACTAAGTCCCATGATCCTCTAAGTAGTCTCCAGGTTGCAGGAGCTGGGAGTTCCATCATGAGCTCTCTTATGGCGTCTCATGAGGGTCTTCCAGGATATCTGAACTCTGTATGCAGCGTTTGGAAGATTCTTGTCAGATACTCACAAGATTGCATACGATGTTTGGCAGGACTTCTTGTTGTTTTAAGTAGGGTTTTGGCCCATTGGTTGAAGAGTTCAGGGTATCAAGTTAGGGGCAGTGTGGCTTTGGGACCTGGTGTTACTTGGAGGTTCATGGGTAGTTACAAACTGAGCTATAAGTCCTTGAGTATGGGTTATAACTATAGTTGTCCTACTTACAACCCTACTTACAACTAAACTTGAATCTCCAAGTAGGCCTCCATTATACTATAAATATTATGAGGAACCCGAAAACTGGGACCTCGTGTTAGGGTTGAGGGCTTTGTGGGGTTGAGAATTCAAGTCGCTCGGTTGAGGGTGTTTAGGGTTTAGGGGCAGGTGGGTGCTGTGGAAGTGTGTTGCTCATGATGAGAACGGATAGCGAGAAAGATGGGAGTACTCGTCATGACAATACTTATGAGAAGGTACAGGAAGGATAGCAACTACGGTAGTCGCAACAACAAAAACACATTCTAAACCATGGCGACGCTTGTCATCATAACAGCTTTGTAGCAGCAATGGGCATAGGTGCAATATTTGTACAACGAAGCAACAATGCTCGCTAACCGCAATTACCCTGAGACTTGGGGTGCTAGTATGTTGCAACTCTCTAGGGATTGTCAACACCGATGGTAATGCTACTCGCTGCGGCGCTTGTACTTGTACTAGCCCTGCTGCAGTGGAGCCGCTCGCAGGGCACGCAGTGCTGATCGGTGCTGCGAAACATCTGGGCGTCCTGGCTCCCATAAGCCCGAAACCCTAAACCGTAAACCCAAAATCCCTACACCCTCATGCATGTTTTGGGCTGAGCTTGGGGTACAAAAGTTCATAGGGAAGGCAGGGAGGGCCTTGGCGTTGAATCAAGCGAGTCCTTCGCAAGGCTGGGGACAGAATCTGGCCGACAGCACCCTGAAGGCTGAGTCCAGCCTTGTGTTTATTCGTTGGAATCTTCAACTCTGTGCAACTCCACAGTGCAGAAGGCATATAGTACTGGACGAAAGCATACGGGTCGAATTTCCAATACACAGATCCACATCCTGCCGTACAGAGACTCGTACGTTGAAGGTGCTATACTTGCCAAGAGGGTCAACAACCTCCCAGTAACAATGTACACGCCACAAAGAACAGACGGACAGACAAACACATGGATGGACAAACGGGTAGGTGGATGGACAGCTGGTTAGGTATGTACAAGGATAGGCATGCATGTCATGCGCATGCATACACGAGTATATCTGCACGTGTGCACATGTAACTGTATACACATGTACGCACTTGCATCGACTGTCGAACGTGCATGAATGTTCTTCATTCCCGCTGTGTCTGTCATTACACGCTATGTTTGCACTGAGTTATCCCATGCTTGGCTCTCGCATGGACTCATATTCTGTAGATGCAATGGCAGGTGATCGTATCCGCCAGTGCAGTGCATACGAGCACAGGTGGGTTGGTATGTTATGCACATGTCTTTGTTATTCGTTTAGTAATTATTTGCTTGCCGATTTGTCTACTACAGTCCAAACAGATGCATGCACACTTTCTCTATACAGAGTAAGACCAAAAGGAAACTAGGCAGACAGGCAGCATACTGGTCATGAAAGGGGAGCGGGAGAGTGCACCCGCATAATTTCTGAACGCTTATAGTAGGCCTGAGATTCCTTCGTCCACTCTTCCTTAAGCACCAGTAGGACAGTCAGAATCGACTTGGCATGCCTCGCGGGGCGTGATAATGGCTGCAAATTTTTTGCCCCCGACGTCCTGCACATGGCCAGAGAGAAACCACTCGAAGTAGTTTTAGTAGAGCCCAATACCCCTGATTTAGGCAACTGACCTGGATTGATGTCGCGGGTCAGCCCCGTCGTTTCAGACAACTGGCGTGGGGCGTTGAGAGGCTTCTAGAAAGTTCGTGGATGGTTCCGAAGAGGCCGGGTAAGTGCACTTCCTGCAAATGACGCTAAAGAAGCCCTGCTCGAAACTCGCAAATTCGAAGTTGCACCAGATGTCAACTGTGATACTCTAGGATACTATCGTATACTATAGTATACTATGCTATACTATAGTATACTATCGCACAGTATATATTCCCAAAACTCAAAGCAATTGTACAGCTGACGGAGTTTAGAAGCAAGAGTGCTCCTCGTCGTAGACTCTGCGTATGTGCTCCATTTCATGGGGCAGAAGCGGCGCGACCGCCTCGGTGTCGGTAGCTGCTGGCTTTTGGCTTCCGGTTTTTATTCAGGATTTGTCAACAGAATCCAAGAACTCCAACAAAAAGGCCAGACGAGATGTGACAGGGCATCACTTGGTTCTCTAATTTAAAACGTGTCGAGCATGGAATGGCATTTTGGAGGTGAAGGGATTATGTATTTGGATTCCGGATACTTCCTGAGTGATCACGAAGCCTTGCGCTGCCAGACCTACGAAATCCTGCTCTCCAAACCAACATGTCTAGACACGGCCTCTCGCTCCCGAGACTGCGCCCGGACCCGAGAACACGGGAAACCTAGACCCTAATACCCCAAGTTGTTGTAGTCTATATGTTTAGTGCATGTAGTATATACATATGTCTGTGCATGCATACATACATACATACATACATACATACATACATATATATATATATATATATCCGTTTTCATTTATATATTTACAGTAATTAGAATTTATAATTGCTTTTGCATGTATATAGTATATGATATACCATATGGATAATATGACTAGTGATCAGTTCCCACGCACTGCTCTTTGCAGAGGAGAGGGCCGCAGGTGCCGCAGGCCTTAGGCCCTCGACCCCCATGGCGTCCCCGAGTGTTTGGGAGGGCCGTCTTGACCCCCCAACAGGTTGCCGTTCCGTTTTATCCGGGCTGATTTGGCCTCTGGTTGTGGCTGTTTTGGGTGGGTTGCGGTGATGGGATGGGTGGTGAGGACTTAGAGTTGGGCGCAGCCGCCCTGTGTGGTTCTTTCTAGAAACTTTGAGGTGTACAGCCCTTCGAGGATGTCCACCGTTCAGGTGTTGGTTCAGAGATGGCAGTTCGGGGTAGTTCCGGGTCTGGGTTCAGGATGGTTGGGGTTCGGGGTTGAAACATTAGGGCCTATGGCTAGGCTCCACGTAAAGCTGCAAGCCCACAATGCCCCAGCAGATGTGTGAAGCGCCCCACGGCCCCACTGCAGGCCGAAGCGATGATTCTGAGACCGATCCGCGATCTAGCAGAAGCCGTGCGCACACTCAAAGCTGTGTCTTTGTGTTTTGGGGCGCATCAAGGCCACACGAACCAGCGGGAAACAGCTGACATCCCTGAGAACCCTCCGAGGTTATGTTAAACACAGAAGAAACTTGGGTGCGCAGCTTCCAAGAGTGCATTGAAACTCCGCCTTTAAGTTTAGGGGTGCTACAAACCAGAGTCCCTTCTTTCCCACGCTGCAGTGCGTCAGGAGGCCTTCAAGCTTGCTCTGCGCGGCCGTTGTGGTACGCACGCAGGCACGCTCAGTATAGCGCCCCGAGGAATGCTGGAGGCCACCACTCTGCAGAGATCCTAAAGTCGCCGGGAGAATGGGCGTCTCCCTGCAGAGCTGTGGCCAGGAGCATCCCAAGCTACTGGTGGCTGTGCCAGGTCACTGGCCGAATTGTCAGTGCAGCCCACAAAGGGACATGCTCTCTATGCATCTCTCGCAATGCAACAGCACAAAAGACGCCATATCCAGTATGGTCCAAAGCATCCGGTAGCCTGCAACTTTTGCAAGGGCCGGAGCTCGACTGTACACAGCTATACAGCATGCGTCCGGAGAACAACACTTAGATTTGTCAACCGGCAAAAGCTGCGTGGCAGGTGGCCGACACGGACAGTGGACTACTGAGGTACCAGCCAGCAAAACAAAGGACTATCGAACCCACGGTGCTACCTTAAGCTCACTATCTTTTTCGCCTCGATACCATGTTCGGGACTCAACCTCGACTGCAACAAGGACAGGGAACGACCCGTAGCACGTCACAGTGATGGCAGGCAAGATTAAAGCGCCGAAGGCGCTGGGAAATCCGAATCTGGCCATACCGCCCGCAGCAGCGAGCTGACACGAATTCGATCGTTTGGTTCAGGGACTCTGAATGGCGCGGCGGACCTGCAAACAGAGCTACTGGTATCGGCAGCAAGCTCCAGAGCTTAAGCATGCGAGGTCGTGTTCCTAAATCCTTACATTGAAGTCTTGCCAAATCATCTTATGTGGCTTGCTATTTGCTACGATCGCTGTACGAGGCAGAGAGAAGCTAATCTCGCAACCTGAGCACGCAGGCAAGTGGTCCGGGGGCACCTTTCCTCGCACAAAACAACGTGAAGGGAGGGACAGAGGCAGAGAGAGAGAGAGGGGGAGACATTCTGAATCGGAACCCTGCTACTGTTTACTGATGCCTCTACACGGCAATCTGCTGAGAGCTCAGGAAGGCCAGACCTGAACCTGAGCCATGGAGTCCGCGGCGGTGCAGGTACCTGAGGACTGCCAGTGCTGCTATTGGAGCAGATCTTGCTACTGAACTGGAGCCTTCCAGAGTTGCACCATAGCGTGCTGCTGCAAGATGCTGTTCCGTAAAATGCTCGATCACTCTTGTGATTTCGGCTCTCAGCAATTTGCTGCCACGACCACCTCCACCATCATTAGTACCCCCAGCACCACAGTGACCGAGACTCCTTACCATCGCCATCGGCACCTGTACCACCGTCACAATATTGCTTCAAGCTGTCTTCATCATACCTATCATCATGTCTGTCGGGGGGCGGTTGCGGAGGCATCTCAGGTCATTCAGAACGTAATAGTTGGAAGAGGGGTTGGGGAAGTATTGTATTGTTATAAAATAGGGGCAGTCATAATTAGAATAGGGTTTTGCCGTGTATTTGTACTTTATTTGTAATAAGGAGCCCCAAAAACCTATTCTAATTATTAAGGCCCCTATAGTACTTCTAAAGGAACTATCGCGGGTATAAGAATACTGTTGATTCGGGCACCTTTCTTTGAGGCTTCAAGTTGTGCCGAAGCTCCGGAGTGTGGCATTTCGGAAGGGGGTTCTTGACAGTAGGCTTTGGAGTTTGGGGTTCAGGGTTTGTTTGTAGGGTGAGGATTTACTGCTGCCCATCACCGATGAAGTTTCTTGCGTGTTCCTTCCTATGTTTAAGGCTTAAGATTTAAGGTTTGGTGGGTAATGCGGGATTCCATCCTTCAGCAGCGGTTCACGCGCAAGTCCCTAACCAGCCGGGGAACACTGCGCCGGATCAGTGTTGCAGGGCCACCACTTGTAGCCCTCGGCGCATCTCTTGCAATTCCTCGGGCGCAGGAAGACAAGAGGAGGACGAGTAATGCAGGGGCCTTCATAGTCAGAATAGGGTTTTGGGGTATATTCTGCTACAGTTATCATAAGGAACCCCCAAAAGAGTATAGGTAACTATTCAGGCCCCTATCCTACTTACAAGGCTCCCGGCCTGAATGCTTGAAGCTTCTCCCAGAACTGAAACACCGTTTGTTCAGCCTTAAGGGCCTCATACAATATGTTGCAGCATAATATAATATCTTGTGGTGGGCTAAAATGTATTCGAGTTTAATGGCATTATGGCATACAGAAGGCTTTGGCGTGTGACGGTCGTTAGGCTTACGATCTGACAGCGTGGGGTTGAAGGGCTACGTGGCACGTCAGCTGCTTCGAACAGATTCCGAAACAGGCCCTGCACACATGCCGCGTGAAAGCTCGGCACTCCCAAATTGAAGATACTAGCACTGTGATTCTTACCATTGCTACGCAACCCGAAACCCCGAACCCCAAACTATCAAAGTTGGCCTCGTTTTCCTTTGATGCTGGGAACCCCTAGGCTTCCAGAAAAGGTGCTCGACTGTGGCGCCGTTGGGTGGCAATCCCTGCAGGCTGCGGACGATAGACAATCTGCCATAATCTCCGATAATGTACGATAATCCACTAGAATATGGTACAATGTATCATCTACCAGAATATAGTAGAGCATACTATAAGTACGACGATATGATACTATAACAAACTTCACATGATACGATGTAACACAATAGAGTGTAATAGCATTTATAATATAATATAGCGGCATATGGCAGTTTCCGAAAAATAAGGGGTACCATATTTTGGGGTCCTTACCAGAAGGATCCCACTAATTGAGGTACTATATTGGGGTCCCCTATTTTCGAAGACCCCCATAGAGCCATGTGCGCCGAAGGCGTCAGGCTTGAGCTTCGCAAGGTAGCCAGGGCATCAGCAGACAGCAACGCTGCAGATACTGACAGATCAAGATCGACGGTTTAGGGATAAGGGTTTAGGGCTTAGGGTTCAGGGCTTGGGGTTTAGGGCTTAGAGTTTAGGGCTTGGGGCTTAGGGTTTAGGGTTTCGGGTTTATTTCGTTGACAGAACTGGTTGGAAAGGCATGAGCGCTGCGGACAGCAAGCACACCAAGGACGCGGCAGAGTGATAACAGTCGGGGAACGGGCAATACACCAAGACACAAAACGACAGCGGTCATGCAAAACAACCATTCTACGGGGCAGGAAAAAAACGGGGCGAAAGCACCTTGCGAAGATCAGGTGGTCAGTTAAAATGTAGGCATTAGAATAACATTAAGCGGGACGACAAGGCCTCAAAGGCAGCAATGAGCAATCCTGAGAACCAGAAGCATGACAGCAACATCACTACCACCAAGCATGGTAGCATTGTGGACGTTGCGTTCTGCGGGTTAAACACCACAGACCGTCAGCAATTTGCTGAGGGCTGGAAGAGCTAAGCTGCGGATATACTCGCATATACTATAAATATACTGTAGTATACTATATCCTGGCACGGCATCCCGGATAGGGCGCGGGACTCCACTAAGGACTCTGATATACGCGGTAATACATCACAACACACCATAAATAAACTAGAATATACGACAATATACTACAATATACTGTAATGAAATTTAACATGCTACAATATACTACAACGTACTACACTGAACTATAATATACCATGATATACTATAAGAGGCTATAGTATACTGTAACATGCTATGACATACGACAGCGTTCCCTGAAACTGCCTGTGTCGGGACGCAAACCAACTCGCCACCGCCACCACCCTGCGTGGTGGTGGCTCGGGTGGTCGCCGGCGCAGTCTGGGTGGTTGTCGCCGTGACCTGTGCAGAATCTTGCATTTAAGGACATGCCAGTTGTAAGAAAGAGCAGCAACCGTGCATAACAAAACAAGCTGATAAGTATACGACAAGTATACTACCATATACGAAGATGTACGATAACAGACTAGAACATGCTCTCCACCATCCGGTAAAAGCCCCCAAGACCCAGCAGTGACTGAGACTGGGGCGGGGGAACAGTCGCAGAGCTGCCCAGCACATGGCCATGCCTGTTCTGTCTGGTGCTTAGTAGGGAATGGGGGAATGGATTATAGGGACTACTATAAGGGACCTTAAGGGACTATCATAGGGATCCATTCCCCCATTCCCTACTAAGCACCAGACAATCTTCAGGGTTACCCTTGGATGCTCACGGGACTCTGAGCAGGGTTGTTTAAGGTCCAGGGTTCAGGGTTGGGGTTCAGGGTTTAGGGCTTTAGGGGTGTAGGGTTTAGGGTTCAGGGTTGGGGTTCAGGGTTTCGGGGTACTAGATTCTACCTCTGCTTGGAGCTACTTCTTGAGTCTCTTGAGCCTCCCGGTAGGGTTCTGGGAGGAGTGGGGACGCCGAGGGAAGAAGTAGAGAGGGGAATGTCGCTTAGGAACGTCACAAAAATAACTATGGCGATCA